ATTGTCGCCAACTGTCAAGTCTGCGCCGCTGATAAGGCGCCGATTCAGCCACCAAGATCGATAGTGCCCACGGTTGTTGAACGACCATTTCAAAGCGTGAGCATGGACACTACCGACATAGTGGTGCCCCCTGGCCCTAATAGTTGCGAATATTCAGTCCTATTGGTATTTGTCGACCATTTCTCGAAGTGGATCGAAGCGTATCCTTGTCGCACGAGGCAAGCCACGGAAATCGCACGATATGTCAACCGTTTCCTCGGGATGCATCAGGATACGGAAGAGATCCTGACCGATAACGGGGCTGAATTCAGGGGAGAAGTGTTAAAGAATTTGGTCATATATGGCGTCGCCATACCGAACACCGCACCCCACATGTGACAATCCAATGGGCTGGTCGAAAACGCCAACCGGGTGATAAAGACCGCATTGCGATGAAATATCGCGGCACGGGATCCGAGGCCCTGGCCCGACATCGTCGATCACATCCTGGCGGTCCATCGGGGAACGCCTCACGAATCGACGGGGCTAAGCCCCTTCCAATTAAGGACCAATAGCGTCGCTTGCGTTTCAATACCAAGCCTCCCAGACAAGTCTACATTGAACCGACGGCCCACCAGGGCCACGGCTAGGGACAAGGCCAAACGGCACCTAGAGCTAATGGAACGGTCACTACCCAGGCTAGCCCGAAAACGACGGAAATGACCGAACTAGCCCAAGGCCGGCAGGTCCGGAGCTACGAGGCCCGAAATGGGAATGCGGGTCCACGGCCCCAGTACAAATTGGGGGACGTGGTGCAGGTGAGGAAATGTGCTCGCCAGGGTAAGCTAGCGCCCCGATTCTTCGGGCGGTATCGCATGATCGAGCTCGGCCCCAACGGCGTGGACACCGTGCGTCTCGCCCCTGAAGTCTCTGGCAGTCGATCGGCTCGTCCGATCACACGCCACGTGTCCTATCTTCGCCTCCTCCCCTCTGCTCCGTCTCCTTCTCCCTCGATCTCTCTCTCTGCGGAAGCCGACGACGGCGGCTCTGACTCTCCGCCATCTCCCTCTCTTTCCTGCTCCCTCTCTGCCACCCCGTCGCCCCCGCCATCGCCATGAGTTTCGCCATCGAGCAAGCTTTCACTGATCAGTTGCTGATGCCACGGGGAGAGATCTCAGCCATCCGCCAAGTGCATCATCCACGGATCAGCCCCGACTTCATGCGCCTTGCGCAGTTCTTCTGCACTGCGGGTGTATACGGCGCGACAGAATTCCGATTCACGAGGAATCCCTAGGTAGTGGTGCTGGCCGAGGCAACGGGGTTCCAACGGCGAGCCGCCCCGGGAATCAGCCACGTGTCTACCGTGGTGGTTTTCAGCGGCGACATCACCGCCTTCGGTCCGGCGCGGCAAGCCGCCATCAAAAGCACCTTGTACCGGTGGGGTCGCGATCTGGCCACTGATTGGGATCGACGTCTCACAAGGCACGGTGACGAGTGCTATCCGGTCGACGGCATCGAAGTCAACACGCTGCGCACGACGCTACGCGAGCCACCTGTCGTCCTCCCAGAACTTGCTCCCTTCCAGCTCTCTCTCTCTCTCTCTCTCTCTCTCTCTCTCTCTCTCTCTCTCTCTCTCTCTCTCTCTCTCTC